AAAGGTAATAATCGATTTAGTTCCATTTTGGTAATATCTAATGCGAGACAGAATTTAACAAACTATGGATTTTGTGTTTCAAAAAAAAAAAAAAAAAAAAACCACAAAAAAAAAAAAAAAAAAAAAAAAAAAAAAAAAAAAATTAGAATGTTTTTTTTTTCGAAAAAGGATCTCCTAAATAAAAATATTTGATATAAGTATTTTTTCTTACATAACTGGTCGCCCGAGTGGCGCATTGGTTAAAGCGTCTGTTGAATAGATATACATCAAAGTGCAATAAAAGAACCAAAGAGCCATATTCGGAAATGAGTGTTTGTGGGTGTGGGGGATGCTCCCTTGAAAAAAAAAATTATGTAGGATTGATTCAAGCGATTGTGAACTGATATATCACAAAAATGATAAGGCTATTTATCGTTTTATGAAATGTATTCCATCACTACCGATCTCTTGTTCCTCTGTTTTGATGCACCAACCACTCCTCTCATTGTATATTCATACGTATGACGATTCAAATTTATTGTATTTAGAAAGTGATGCCTACCATGACGTTCTACATAGGTTAAGTATCATTACCATTCTCATGTCCGTTTACGGAGTGGGAACTTTCAATCGCTCTCGAAAATAGCTTAATAGCTACAATTGCTGCTGTGAATAATTACAAGAATCTGCAAAAAATTCTTGAACTTTAAAATTTTCCTTCAGTTTGCAACAGATCATGATCATAATCGTATATCAAAACAAGAAACAGTTCTGCAGCAGAACTATTTAGTATTTGGTTTCTTATACAAACTTGATATCTTTTGCGAAATTGAAATAATGAGAAATAAAGAGATAATGGACAGCATTCAAAATCAACATTCCTTGAAACAATACATAATAGAGCAGAAAAAACACGCACCTCCAACACATCAGATGTTGGATCAAGTGCCATGGAGGAGTGAGCACCTCCTGTCAACCAGTGACGCCCGCCGGGTGCTCCTTGTCATTACCTTGGCCCGGTCATGGTAGCCTATTGGTAGAACGTTTGCTTCGAGATCGGGAGGCCCGGGCCCGTGTTTCATTCTCGTTCGCGGCGCTGCTTCATACCTAAGACGTAAACTTAGTTAGTGACAGTTCCTTAGCAAAGCGCTCAGCACTAGAAGTGAAAGTCACGGGTCTATAGGATATGACCTTGAAAACGTAGTCCCGTGTCAAGGAAGGCGTTGGCAAGATAAAGAACTCTCACTGCTCAATTGCTCTGAGTGCCGAGTATAGGTCTAAATTTGAAGCTCTTCACCGGCATACTCTGACGTCTCTGTATGAGTAAAAAAATTTCGAGAGGAACATTAAACAATATAGCAATCAAATAATCAATCATCATCTTGAAATAACAGAAAACTCCGTCTTCAATCCAGTGTATAGAAACGGATTAACGATCAATATAAAATACATCGGTCGGCAATTGACTCAATAATGATTAAATTTGCCAACAAGGTCATCATATCGACACAAAACTTACTACATGATGACTTTAAACGAGACTGCTGATATTCATGTTTCATCAACTTGTTTGCCAATAAATTATCTTGTTTAGGAAATTGTTCATACGTTTACAATGCTTTTGCGTATCGATTCAATTGAGTTATAAACTCCGATTGCAGGTGATGAAGGTATATTACTGCATAAATGAGGGAAGTTGACGATAGAAAAGTTAAAGTCATCACGTTCCTCATAGAGCTTGGTTATTGGATCACCATTAACGTCTTTTTCAAGTAAAATATCAAACTATTAAACAGATGAGTCAGACTCTGTGGCATCTATTATCTCAAATTCACAAGGATATTTCGTATCTACACATGAATGGAAATTACCATTGTTAATTGACAATACATCGTCGATATACCTCAATGTCGAGTTGAAAGTCACAGTAAGTGTGTACCGTTCACGGTAGCTCAGTTGGTAGAGCGCTCGCTCCTTGATCGGGAGAATGTGAGTTCGTATCTCGGCGGCGACTAACCTAAGTCGATAAAAATTGGTAGCAATTGTTCCTTCGCCATGCGCTTGGCACTTTGAAGTGAAAGTTGCGGGTCCTGCGGATGAGACCTTAAAGACCGAGGCCGCGTGTCAGCGGCAGGCGTTGGCACAATAAAGATCCCTTACTGCTCAATGGCACTGAGTGCCGAGTAAAGGTCAAAATTTGAAGCCCTTCATCGGCATAAGGTGACGTCTCCATATGAGTGAAAAATTCTAGAGAGGGACGTTAAGCAATATACAATTGATCAATCAATCAATCTTCTTTTCACAAAAAAGATATTGCGCAAATTCTGCTTCAAATAATTACGAAAATAAATCTGCTAATAACGGAGCGCGATTGGTGCCCATTGGTACCCATGGGAATTCCGATAGATTGTTCGAAGACCTGGTCTCCAAAACCACATAGATATTGACAATACAAACCCAGGCATCCTTTTTATCTCAGTTTCAGAGCAATTGTGTGCAATTTGAATGTGTTTTAACAAAATACGAGGGGGTATCAAAAAGTTCGTGGACTAACGCCATCAATTCAAAACCGCTTTAGATACATCAATGAATTTTAAAATATTTATTTATCATAATCTTTTCTTTCTATAGAGTAAAACACAAATAGGCCTAATGAATTTTATTTTTAAATTAAATATTCAAGTTTTTGTGAGCAATGGTATGTCCAGGAGGCGCAACCTACTATTTTGGTATGAACATTTGACATCCAAAAATCCCGTTAATTCAGATATGTGTTGGGACACTATTGTTCCATAAAATATGGAAATTTTATTTAATTCTGGAAGTTCTCTGAAATTCTATTGTAAATTTTACCCGGAATATCGAAACAAACAGGGCCTTGAAAATGATGTCAAAAGGGGGACGGGTTTCTTTTTACAAAATTCTATAAGGTTTTGCCCCTGGAAAAACTGGTATACAGCTAGGAAATGTTTAAATTGGCTGTGGAAATAATATACATCCATATTACTTGTTTTTAATTCCAAAAAAGATTCAGAAAGAAAAGGGGTGCAAAGTTGATGTTGATTTGTAGTAGAGGTTTGAAAAGTCTATTACGTCAAATAATGACGTTGATCATGTATTTTAGCTATATTGAACTCCAAAAAACAAAGTATGCTGGCACAATCAAGCGAGGATCTCTCCCAATGGAGAAATCCATTTGCAATAATATATGCATTGAAATTTTCTGTTTATGACATTGTAGAGTCATAAAAATAAGATGAGTTGAGGTCCTTACTCATCTCTAGGGAATCTCTTTAAAATAAGTGTTTAAGGTAGAAGAAGCGGGCATTGAAAAATAATGACGTTCTCGGACGTCATGAAACAAAACGGCGACAGCGCCGGGTGACCATATAATGTATTTTTTTATTTTATAATAATTTGGGAAATAATGAACATATCAAGCTAAAACTTTCAACATTTCTTTATTTTTTGTTGTTTTATGTTCCTTAAAAATTTTATGAGCCCAGACATCATAGTACTAATTTTATAGTCTCAGTCCACGAACTTTTTGATAACCCCTCGTAATTTTGCAAAAGACCAATTAAATTTACGAGTCCATTTCTATTGAAAAGCAGCTGTACGGGATATAGATTCTTCAGAGTTATACAGGCCCGTAGCAATAATTAATAATTATGTTCTTTTGACATGACAATGCCATTAAAAGCAGCTGTCAATGATATCAAAAATCCTGGACTTTAATTTATCGTGGGGAATGGTTGTGTATAAAGTTGAAAATTCATAAGTTACATGTATTAATCTGTTGATTTTTGTAAAATCTTGTGAATTTAAATTGTCCAAAGGTTCTTAGGAAATTTTGAGTATCCACATCTGATTCACACCATTTCTTGAATATATTGCTGCACAAAACTCTTGATGTTTTACCTTCACTACTGTCAATATCTTAATGAGGAGTAAAGAAAGGGGCTTTGTTGTACATTTACCAGAACCCGCAATGTATCTCTGTTTATAGGATTTTTATGGAGTTTTGGAATCCAATACATATATATATATATATATATATATATATATGTATATTAGGGCTGGGTATTGGCCGGAGATTTCGTATTGCGATATATTGCGATATTTTGAACTGTATTGCGATATGTATTGCAATATTTTCAACGTAATAAAAATGGCATTTTTTCACTATATTTACTTTAATTTACACGCAGAATGTACATAACCAAGATAAATAACCTACACGGAAAAAAATCTTGTTGATTTCTTTAAGTTATGCTCTGAAATGCTCCCACAAAACAACTTCTGTCTTAATGTTTGGCTTAATAACAAACATTCATAAGTCCATTTTTATATTTAATGACAAAATTCCTTAATCTAAGCATATTGCCAATATATCGATATTACAAAATCGTATTGCGATACGATATTTTTTGTCATTGTATTGCAATATATTGAAATATCGATATTATTGCCCAGCCCTAATATATATATATATATATATATATATATATATATATATAAATCTGGTTTTTGCAGGTGTTCTTTTTGAACTTTTAATGGCCGATACTTTTTTCTGAAGTTTACATTGATGTTTGGTCTTTATTTCCTTCTTTTACTTTTCAATTCTTTACATATATACATTATCTGAAGGACTTGTATTCCGAAAAGAAACACAAAAGAACAGTTTTTCTTTGATCAATTAGGTCAATAAATGATAAATAGTAAAAGGAATATTCAAAACTTTGAAAAAAAAGTGGAACTACCTTAGTTTGATTGCTTATTTGCATTTCTGCAGTGCATAGCATTTCTGATAGAGGATTGTGTTTCAAGATTTATTATCAATCAAGTCTGATTTTTTATAGCACAAGAAGTATTTTATATCATGTATAATGATAAATAAAATCAGAGTTGCATAAAAATATTTTTCCATTAACACTCCAGTTAGTTTCTGTTAATTTATTTAAGAATCGATACAACAATGTAAATAGTGGATGTGCAATTCTGTGTGAACGCAAAACAGATTAAAATGTGATTTTATTTATTTCTTTGAAGAAAATACATAAACTCAATGCTTTGTTGAGTATATGGTCTCATCCGATGCATCTGCATTTTCTTTTTCTCCAACCACAGGGAATACAAATCCCCGTACGGCGTCTCAAGCGTCGACAAGTTCTGGAGCAATCTAGGCTACTGCAGCTTCTTATCGAGCATGAAAATTGACTCTGGACAGGATGGACAACTTCTAGTGAGAGAACACACAGCACAAGGATCAAGACATAAGTCCTCATCTGAAACACAACGGACAGGGCTTTTATATCTACTCTTGATTATGTAACTATACATGTATCATACTAATATGCTTTCTTTAGATTGCAAGCAGGATATAAATCATTGGACTGTCATTCTTAGTTTTGCAAAAAAAGATGCAAATATCCATAAATCAAGTACATGTACAACTGTAAACTAACTGATAAAAATGTTAAAACAGTGAAGATGACAAACAATGGTCGATCTATTTCAATAATCAAAAAGAATTGTGAAGGCGGCAGATAGATAACATTCACTTAAAAATTTCACAGCTAAAATTGTGTGCCTAGGAATAGTATGCATCCCCAACCCTCGAAATCCGGCTACGCGTGCAAGTGATCAGTGAGACAAAATAATCTTTAGAGAAATATTGTTTGAAATGCTTCAAAATACATATTTTTTTAATCCGTTATTTTGTAGGAAACTAACTCGAATAAACATTTACAGGAGAAGCAGAGAAATGTTGTAGTTTTTTGATTTGGGAATACGTCGGTCGTTTAAAAGAATTTATCAATCTGAGCAAAAAGGGACATCCAAGACTAACTTTGAGTTAGACATGTTAATGGTATTTTATTAGAGAGGTCAGACCTAGGATACACTGTTAACGATCACAGGAACGCTATACCAATCAGCCAAATTGAATGTGGATTGTAAGCTTTCGGTTACATATTGAAAACCTTTCTATACAGTGAAAAAAGGATTTAAGACAGTGAGATACTAAAAAAAAAGATAGGAAAGTATAATGCAAAATAAAAACCGTCGTGTGAGGATAGACACTGTCTGTTAAGTGTTATTTTTAAATGCATGTTAATAATTTTCAATAATCATTGATTATTTGTTGTTTTTCTATTTCTTAATTAAAATATATATATATATATCAGTGCAAGCATTTTAAGGATTTTTTTATATTCCAAACATTTATTAGTTATAGTAGTATGTATATGTATAATTGTGACTACGTGCACATTTGCATTGGAGATTTTTCCTATATAAGACTTGGGTCGGCCATTTTGGTAGGACCAAACTTGAATCTAAAAGGATATATTTATTAATACATTAAAGAATATAGTGATCAGATCCCGCTAGATTTATTTAGATTTTCCTATTTACAAGCTACGATGAGGACTTGATATATAGTTAAAATTTAGAGGAAGTGTGTGTCAAACTAGCTCGTTATATCATCGCTGAAAGCTGCAGTTGAGCGAGATCAATTTGGCTTTAATTCTATATTCAAATAAAGTTATTATGATAAGATAGGATTAACTTCGATGTATTTTTATTTAAACAGTTTTTACGGGACGACACAATCGATTTCCCAAAGCTCTGCAGAGGCTGAAATAAGTAATACAGTCCCTAACCTAACTGCGTAGTTTGTGAAGTTTGTGTTTTTTATTTTATCCACCCGTTATAATTTCAACAAATTCTCAGTCGTTTCCCTACATTTTCTACATTTATATCATTAATACATTAACAAAGTATTTCTCTCTCTATTTTGGTGAAGCAAGTATACACTAATATTATTGTGATACAAAAATCTTCATCAAATCGATTGGGGGGGGGGGGGCAATTTTCTTGAAACGACAAATCATATCACGTATCATTCGTGCAAAAACGAGATTGTCCTTCTCTGTCGGTCTCTCAACCTGTCCCCACTATTAATAGAGAAATATACCATTTTGATTATTCAACCTCATTTCGACGACCAAATTGGTTGAATTCTAAAAAAAATGCTATTTTTACCGCGTTTATATTTTGGTATGATACACGTCAATTAATGTCATTGTATCCCTGGTCAATATATAGATGTCATACATACAAAAGGTGTGTCTGGTAAGCAGGGGACCCTTGATCGTACTTTTTCAATTACCAGGGTTTCGTGTTCATACAATCGTCATTTATCTGTATTATTTGGAAGTAGATAACTGTTCGTATTCTTCACCTCTTACATTCATGTCTTACCTTTAATGTTTAGGGTTCCAGTCCAACGCAGCTTTAAGGCTAACATTCATGTCTTACCTTTAATGTTTAGGGTTTCAGTCCAACGCAGCTTTAAGGCTAACAGTAGCAACTGTTATACATGTTTATATATTGTTTTCCATATCCATATATTTCAGACAAATCCGGTTGGAATATCACGTTAAATTCAGCAGGTTCCATGCCTAAAGCAAAAACAATTTTTTCAAAATACAAAAAAAATATGAATTATTGGATGAAATGCATTTCACTGCAACCTGGAGCTTTAAAAACTTGACTTTGTCGGAATAATAGATAAAAATACAAGTCCTGAAATGTAAATTATAATTAGATACAATAACTCACACATGTTTATTGGGATAATGAACAATGTTCAATCTCAAAAGTCGATTTTTTTTTTCAAAATGAATCAAGAGAATAGTCTAAAAAAAACCTTTAAACCTTAGAGATTGGATAAGGTGAATAGGAACATTCCCTTGTAAAAGGATTTCACCTATCATTTCTTTAGATCAGGCAAATAAAAAAGGAATTGGATAATATTGCGAATAATTGCAGTTAATATGGAAAAATCATTTGGCATTTAATTTAATGAAAATATATTTACTGATAAAAAATATCATTAATTTGAGCATAGGAGAATTTTGTTGTCAATAGCTTGTATTTTTGATATATTGTAGAAATTGTAGAACAATATCATGCGTATCGATCCATATTGGAGACACCAACCTTTTATGCATTTGAAAAAAACACGCATTTCTTTATTGGTAAAGAAATCTGGCCTAACAATAAAAAACTATAACAATAGGTAACCATCAAATAAGTTTGTGTCAATATTAATAGCGGGACAGATTTTTTTTTTCAAAATATGAATTTTGTGGTAAAAGACTACTCACTCAAGCAAATAAAGACTATAATGAAAATTTTGCGAAAATAAGGCTCTCGTGAATAAAAAGTAATTAACGCATGAAATATTTTAAACATTAGTATATATGGTTTTTAATGTTTTTTTCTAACATAATTGTTTATAACTGTTTATCATTGAAGCATCCCGCCTCACCCATTCACACTCATTTCCGGATACGTCCCTCGTTTTGTGTTCTATTGTGACACTCTGATGTATGTCTGTTCACTATCAGTCTGGAACAATTAATATTTAACAAATTTTATTCATTTTATTTCCAAACTGTTGCATGTACGGACGTTTTGAAACATGTTCATTTTCACCCTAAAGAAAAGCCTCAGGCGAAACGTGAACTGATATATCACAAAAATGATAACGCTATTTATCGTATTATGAAATTAACAAATTTTATTTATTTTATTTCCAACATGTTGCATATACGGACGTTTTGAAACATGTTCATTTTCACCCTAAAGAAAAGCCTCAGGCGAAACGTGAACTGATATATCACAAAAATGATAACGCTATTTATCGTATTATGAAATTAACAAATTTTATTTATTTTATTTCCAACATGTTGCATATACGGACGTTTTGAAACAATGTTTATTTTCACCCTAAAGGAAAGCCTCACGCAAATCGTGCTCTGATATATCCCAAAAATAATAACGCTATTCATAGCATTATGAAATATATTCCATCACTCCCGATCGGTTGTTCTTCTTTTTTGGTGCACCAACCACTTCTCTCATAATATTGTCTGTCGATTCAAATTGGGTATATTAAGGAAGTGATAACTACAGGGTGTCCCAAAATATATGATACCATATGAATTACCATAAAAAACAAATGCCTTGACCAATTTCTTTGATTTTTGTCTAAGTTTTTAATTGAATAAATACAATTTTATAGCATCAAAATATGGCGGGAAAATTTCTCACTTTTTTGGAATTGTGATGTCACAAAATAACCTCATGATATTGCAATGAAAACTGCCTTTGGATAAAAATGGATTTATCAAAGGAGCGAGCTACTCTCATTATAAAACTACATGTTTATTACCGAACCCAGTCTCCAGTTACTGTAACAAGAATTTTAAGAAAGGATTTTCAAAAGGAAAAACGAGTAACCAAGCAGCAAATAATAAGAATTGTAAAAAAGTTTTAGCAAACAGAATCTATTCAAGACAACAGACAGAACAATGGAGGCAGACCGAAGTCGGTGAGAATTCCAGAGAGTATTCAACAAGTGCAGCAATTTATAGAGGAAACACCACAAAGATCTGTGAGGAAAGTTTTAAGCGATGTGAGTAACACTATGTCTTGTAGCTGACCCAGTGTTCACAGAATTTTAAGGTTTGACCTGTACTTAAAGCCTTATAGAACATCTGTAATGCAGCACCTTAAGCAAAGTGACATTGAGAGCCGCCTTACTTTTGCTCAATGGGTAAGGGAGCATGACAATATAGTCAATGTCATTTGTTTTTCAAATGAAGCTCATTACTACTTAAACGGGATAGTAAACAAGCGAAATTCTCGATACTGGGGTAGCGAAAAATCAAATCTTTATCTGGAGAAACCTGTTTATGGAGAGTAAATAACAGTTTGGGCTGCCATGAGCTCTAAAGGGATAATCGGGCCTTTTTTCTTTAAAGATGAAACAGGCGAAACTCAGACTGTTAACATTATTTCCTATCTGGAACTTTTGAAGAAGAAATTCTTGCCATGCTTAGTAAGAAGGGGTTTTAATCCTAAGGATATATGGTTCCAACAGGACGGAGATACGCCTCACACAACTCGAAATGTTACTGATTGGCTACACGAAACATTCAATGGAAATTTTATCTCTTTCAAAACTACTCACATTTGGCCCCCTCATTCCCCCGATGTAAGCCCTCTGGATTTCTTTTTATTATGAAGTCCTGCACATGTTAAGTATCATAACAATCTTTATTACCGTTTACGAAGAGAGAAATTTCAATCGCTCTCGAAAACAGCCGGGTATATATGATTAGTACAGTGAATAATTACAAGTATCTGCAAAAACACATTTCTTTAACATTAAAATTTTGCTTCAGTTTTCAGCAGATAATGATCATCGATGTATATTATTACATAAGATATTAATCTATATTATATAATATGTGTCGTACCAAAATATTTTAAAATCATCAATTGTATAATAATAGAAACAATTATTCAGCAGAGCTCCTTAAGTTTTTTTTTCTCTTATGCAAGCTTGATATCTCTTTGGAAATTGAAGCAAATGAGCATATGGAGGTAACGATTAGCATGCAAGATCAAAATTCCATAAAACAATACAAAAAAGGAGAGAAAAATAGATTGCCAACACATCAGAGGTGGGATCAGGTGCCATGAAAGAGTGAGCATCCATTGTCATGATCACATTGTCATGATCAGATCCGTCCGTCGTTAATGCAGTGTATAGATAATGGACTAACAATTTGTACGAAAACGTCAGTCAGCATTTGATTCAATAACAAATTGTAATTGCTCTGATGTTTCGGAAGTCCGTGTTTCCTCTGTTCCTATTTTTTACTGTTTTATAGACTTTGATATTGAATACCGTTCGTTATCTCCATATCCTTCTGGCAAAGTCATAGTAACGATCCACAGACACTTGTTTTGAAAATACATTTTTACACATAGTTTAGTAATAACACCGGGTATCTAACTCCGAATTACACTTAGTGTCCCCTCTTGAGAAACACACTTATTTACACATTCAGATGTAATGCACTGTTAGAAATTTTAGTATCATTATTTTCTTCGATAATTTATTTACACATTCAAGCATACATGGCATGTATGTCCTTGTTTTCTTATATTTGCCTAAACAGCGGCGAACTTAACCATAAAACGGTATGTGCTAATGCCGCACAAAGATTTGGATTGGCTTAAAATTTGTATTTAAAAATACATCGATAAAATGAAATAGCGTCTTATGAACATTGAGACCTCGAAACGAAGGGATAAGTAGCAATTTCAAATCTATATGATACTAATATAAGTAATACCAAGGGATAAGTAGCAAAGTGGAAGTACATGTATAAGGTGATTATTTTTTGCTCTGTTAGGACTTTTGAGATTCTATATGCCCTGCGAACCATACAATTTTCATCGTCTGTCTTTAAACTGATTCCATACGTCTGCTCAGGTTGCCATTTTTTGCCAAAACTTACTTCGGATGTCCATGTACCTGATAAATAAAACCCCTGTCCTCTTGAGACTTGTCAATAAGGGAAGCTTATACCAATTCTACTTGTTAACAGGTGAAGCAGGTAAAGAATTTTTAAAGATCTATGCCTTTTTTTCTGGATTTGATATTGACTTCTTGTCTTTATTTCCTGCTTTTGTTTTTCCTTTTTTAACATATATACATTATCTAAAAGGACTTGTTTTCCCATAAGAAACACAAAAAACAGTATATTTTCGTCAATTAGGTCAATCGGTGAAAAATATTTTTAAAAATATTCAAAATGTAGAACTAAAGATAATCTACTTTCGTTTAATTTTCTTCTTTTGCTTTGTGTGTGTGTGTGTGAGGGTGTGTGTGTATGTGTATGTGTGAGGACGTGTGTGTGTGTGTGTGTGTGTGTGTGTGTGTGTGTGTGTGTGTGTGTGTGTGTGTGTGTGTGTGTGTGTGTGTGTGTGTGTGTGTGTGTGTGTGTGTGTGTGTGTGTGTGTGTGTGGTGTGTGTGTGTGTGTGTGTGTGTGTTTTATTTCTGCATAGAGTTTTGGGTTTCATCGAATATGATCATTCATAACACATGATGTCATTTATATCATGTGTCACTGGAAAAAAACAGAGTGACATAGTTACAAAATATTTCTCAAAAACACTGCAATTAATTATGTTAATAAATTTGTTTAAGAATCAATACAACAATCGTTGGAGTGTGCAATTCGGCGTAAACTCATGTAAGCAAACCAAATTAAGACGTGATTTTTTTTATTTCTTATAAATGAAATACACTGACTCATTTCTCTGTAGAGTGTATGGTCTCATCAGAAGCATCTGCCTCTTCTTCTCAACCAACCACAGGGGGACACAAATCCCTATATGGTGTCCGTTGCGCCAACAAGTTCTGTGGCATTCCCGTCGCTGCAGCTTCTCGAGCATGAAAATTGACTCTGGACAGGATCGACAACTCCTAGTGAGAGAACACACAGCACAAGGATCAAGACATAAGTCCTCATCTGAAACTTAAGGTAACTACTGAGAGAACACACAGCACAGGAATCAAGACATAAGTCCTCATCT